CAAGAAAGTAAAGACTATGCAAACTTTTTCAAGAGTTTTTTTTCTCTGGAGGAGATCAGGGAAATGGAGCAGGAATAGGTCCTCCAGCCTTGGGGAGGAATCAAAGTAAGGGAAAGTCCTTTTTATTATTTTTTAAGGATTAAATTTATATTTCTCATGAGTCTTGAATGTGGAGAAGAGGAGAAAACCATTCTTAGCACTTTATAATAAAAATAGGTTCTTGACCAACTAGTGGCCAGAAGTGTTGGGTTGCAACTGATAAAAAGCCCAGCGTACACTTGCTTAAGAAAAGAGAGAAAATTTACTGGCTCACATAATCAAGTTGGAACCTGAGACTTGAATTCTATTAGAGATTATCACTGCCTCTCAGCTCTTTCTGCTTCCTCTCCTATTGCAATTTGAAGGGTGCTGGAAAGGAGCAGGGGGAGACATGGGATTACAGGCATCCACAACCACTCTTGTCTAATTTTTAATTTTTTTTAATATTTTTAGTAGAGACAGGATTTCACCATGTTGGCCAGTTGGTCTCGAACCTGACCTCAGGTGATCCGTTCGCCTCAGCCCTGCAAAGTGCTGGGATTAGAACTGTGAGCCACCGTGCCTGGCCTATACTTCTCTGCTAATTGCAGAAACTTAAACATGTTTTATCTTATGTCTCCATAAATTTCACTGCTCCTAAGATGGAGCTGTAAACAAATCCTGAAACGTTTATCTTCTCTAAGAGTAATCCTTAGTGAATCCTTTGGTGAAGAAGAATATTCTCCTCTCTCTCTCAACTTGGATTCAAAATTCCAGGTGATGGTTATTTCTTGTTAACATTCACTGAGCCTTTCTTATGAACCTGGCACTATCCTAAGCAATTTACATATCTTTTTCTACTGAAGTCTCATTACAACCCCATGAGGTAGATACTAACAGTATCCCTATTTCACAGGTGAGGAAAGAGACGGTTTAGTACAGAACGTGCCCCAGGTTACAAGAGCGGTAGCAACTGAGAAGCAGAGCCCAGATTTAGTTCCAAATCTGACTCAGATTATTAACTGCTGCGCTACTCTGCCTTTTACATTTTCTCAAAGTGAGTGCAAAATTAAAATTATTTAGAGTCTGGTATCTTCTCACTAAGTAGGTGGTATCCTGTGATATTACGCTCGTGCTCCTACCACTTCCTGGGCTGTTGTTATTAGGAGACATACTCTTTCATTGCAAGAACAAGTGGCATTTTGAAGAAACCATGGAGGTGGTCTTTGGGTGAAGACACTGCAAGCTGATGGACACAGCTTTGTATTCATATTAGAGCTGCTTCCTTCTAGGTGGGCTGCAAATCACAGCGCTGCTATTTCTTCTCCCTTATGAATATAGCCCATTCGAATTAGTGTTGATGGCTACCTCATTTTTAATCTTTTGCACATCTCATGCCTCTATCATTAAAAAAAAAAAAGAATGGCTACTCGAGTCAAGAATATCTTAAATTTATTGTATTCCAAAAAACTTGGAGTGTCAATATGCATACTTTCAGAGTACAAAAATTACCTTTGTACAAGCAAAGTGTTATAGATGTACATGTTATATAAACTCACCAATGAAGAACCGACTTCATCCACAATAAGAATTTGCTGCTTTGGAAAGATGTCCCTTCTCCTCCCTAAAGGCAATGTCATCTCTTGTCAAGTAGAACTAAAAAGAAAAACAGATGCTTTTTCAGTTTCTAAAAAAATAATTGTTAATTTCTGGTCAAATATCAGTATAAAAATAATTTGTAATGTCATAATCTCTGAATTTATGAATTGCAGTATGTCAAATTTTGCAACAATGCAAAGAGAATTTTGAAAAACCATTTCATTTGTATAGAACAAAAGAAGCATTAAAGGCTGGGCGCGGTGGCTCACACCTGTAATCCCAACACTTTGGGAGGCCGAGGTGGGTGGATTACTTGAGGTCAGGAGTTGGAGACCAGCCTGGCCAACAAGGTGAAACTTCATCTCTACTAAAAATACAAAAATTAGCTGGGTGTGGTGGTGGGCACCTGTAATCCCAGCTATTCAGAAGGCTGAGGCTGGAGAATTGCTTGAATCTGGGAGGTGGTCCAAGATCATGCTCATGCTACTTCACTCCAGCCTGGGTGACGGAAAGAAAGAAAGAGAGAAAGAAAGAGAGAGAGAGAGAGAGAGAGAAAGAAAGAGAGAGAGAGAGAGAGAGAGAGATGCATTAAAATGATTGAGTTAGTATAATCTGGAAGCAAAGGGTGTAAGCTCTAGAGTTTGATTCCTAGTTCATATCTCAAGTCTATTAATCATTTTCAGCTTGTGTGATCTTGGGTAAGTTATACAAAATCTCTGAACTTCAGATTCTGTCCTATAAAATAGTACTTATTTTATGGGGCTGATGAAATGAGATGATGCTTATGAAACCCTCAGCACAGGGCTGGGCAGAGTAAGAGATCAACAAACAAAAGCTATTGAAGCCTCACAATTTGCTGTTAAGTATAAAATGCTGGCCAGGTGTGGTGGCTCACGCTTGTAATCTCAGCACTTTGGGAGGCCAAGGCGGGCAGATCTCTTGAGACCAGGAGTTCAAGACCAGCCTGGCCAATGTGGTGAAACCTTGTCTCTACTAAAAGTGTAAAAATTAGCCAGGTGTGGTGGTGCACACCTGTAGTTCCAGCTACTCAGGAGGCTGAGGCAGGAGAATCACTTGAACCCCTGGGGCAGAGGTTGTGGTGAGCTGAGATTGGGTCACTGCCCTCCAGCCTGGGTGAGAGAGTGAGACTCCGTCTTTAAAAAAAATAAAAATAAAATGCAGCCTACATTTTTATCAATGAACTTACATTATATATACTCTGTGTGTGTGTGTGTGTGTGTGTGTGTGTGTGTGTGTGTGTGTGTGTCGTTTTAGTACAAACATTTTTCTACAGTGCCTTTTGTTGACACAATCTGGCAACACTTACCGTTTCTTTAAGTCAGGAATGGGGCCCGCAGGCAGGCTGCCTCCACCACTTCCAGCTCCTCCTGCTTCCTCAGCCACTGGCTTTCTGGTTCTCTCCACTGCACCCCTGGGGCAGTGACACAATGCTTATCTGCCCTTGGTTAGGAAAATAATTAGGCAATCTGCTCCAGCGATACATTTCTGCTGATTTCGGGTTTTTCTTTCAGTGGTGAATGACAAAGAAATCCAATTAGCAAGGAATGCTTTAGTTTGTCAAGTTTAGTTCCACAAGGCTTCGCTCACTGATTTTGGCTGTTTTGCTTGTTGTCATGTTAAATGTTTCAGAGGCTTTATGGTTCGAAGACAGTCTAAGCCAGAAACTGAAACGGGTACAGTACTCTGATAAATCTCTTTTGTGAATTAGAGTGTGTCATCTTTTGTTCAATAGTAATTCCATCACACGTGCTGTAGTACTAAAACTATTGATAACAATAATAGAACATTTATTGAGTGCTTACTGTGTACCAGGCACTGTTTTAAGCATTTTACACATATTAACTCATTTAATCTTCCCTATACTATTATTATTCCCATTTTACACTAGTGAAAAATTCTGTAGTCTGTATCTTCTTACTTATTCTACATTATTAATTATTTTTATATTAATTTTTTTTTTCAGATGGAGTTTGCTCTTGTTGCCCAGGTTAGAGTGCAATGGTGTGATCTTGGCTCATGGCAACCTCTACCTCCCAGGTTCAAGCCATTCTCCTGCCTCAGCCTCCCGAGTAGCTTGGATTACAGGCATGTGCCACCAAGCCCAGCTAATTTTGTATTTTTTAAAGTAGGGATGGGGTTTTGCTATGTTGGTCAGGCTGGACTCAAACTCCTGACCTCAGGTGATCCGCCTGCCTTGGCCTCCCAAAGTGCTGGGATTACAGGCATGAGCCACCACACCTGGACTGTTATATTAATTTTTAGAGAATATTCCCAATGATCAATTTTCTCTAGTTCTCGGGATACAGATATTTTCCTGGAGATGGGAATGTTTAATAACCCCTCTGAGTTTGGAGGCTTATCTGGTGTAAGGTGAGACCCGTGGATTAAGGATGCTTTACGGGCCTCGGATGATACTGAAAGACAAGGTTATCTTTTACAAGGCTAAGGACAATGAACAGGGCTAGAGGTTAGGATGTTCTGCTCATGGGTTCTGTGGTGGGGGAGGTGGAGACAGGGCCTTGCTATGTCACCTAGGCTGGAGTGCAGTGGCACCATCACAGCTCACTGCAGCCTTGACTTCTTGGGCTAAAGCAATCCTCCCACTTTAGCCTCCTGAATAACTGGGACCGTAGGCACACACGCCTGGCTTTTTTTTTTTTTTGTATAGCTATGGGGTTTCCCTATGTTGCCCAGGCTGATTTCAAACTCCTGGGTTCAAGTGATCTTCCAAAGTGTTGAGATTACAGGTGTAAGCCACCATGCCTGGCCTGTGTATGGTTTTTGTTTTGTTTTTTGATTAAACATTTTTATTCATTTCCAAGCCAAAACTACGTGTGTATTTTTCAGGAATGGTTAAAGTTCAGGGATTGGGGATGGGGAGGGAGAATAGAGATGACCAGACTTCACCTTCAAATCCTCTGTGGGATGAGATAATGAGATAACAAAAGAAACCAACAAAGAAACCTAGGAGCCAGACCTCCCAAACCTCCACTGCTGGAAGAGACCAGCAGCAGACACCCTTCCTCAAGGGTCCCTTCCTCAGCCTCTTCCAGAGTCCTGGAGGCAGTTCCCTTCTGGATAACTTTTATTTGGAATACAGCCTGTTGTCAATAGAAGAGCCTTGGCCAGGCACGATGGCTCACACTTGTAATCCCAGCGCTTTGGGAGGCTGAGTTGGGCAGATCATTTGAGGTCAAGGAGTTCGAGACCAGCCTCGCCAACATGGTGAAACCCTGTCTCTACTAAAAATACAAAAAATTACCTGGGCATGGTGGCAGATGCCCGTATTCCCAGCTACTCTGGAGGCTGAGGCAGGAGAATCACTTGAACCCAGGAGGCGGAGGTTGCAGTGAGCTGAGATCGTGCCACTGCACTCCAGCCTGGGCAACAAGAGAGACTCTGTCTCAAAAAAAAAAAAAAAAAATCGTTATTTGGAATAAACCTTCATGTACTATCAGGTCATGCTGTCAGGGACACCTGGGGCTGAGTAGAATATTTTCTTCAATGGAGAATGAGACAAGTACACAGAGGAGGTCAGCCCTGGCTTCTTTAGTGGCCAAGGGACTTGTGTGTATCACAGGGTAGAGCAGCCTTCAGTGCTGGGTGGGAGCGCATGCTTGCAGAAGTGGGGTCTATGCTCTCCTGAGGGCTGCCTGCGATTCACTCAAGGAAGGAGGCCTTGACAGCGAAGATCCTGAAGGGACGCTCCTGTGCCATGAGGGGGTGATAGGAATCATCTTGCACCCTTTATGATGGGTGTGAGGAACAAGAGAGGATTAAATAGCTTTATCCCGAGGTTAGGGGAATGAAGCTGGAGGGCTGAATGAGGGATGAAATGAATCACGAAATGAAAAGCAGGAAGCATCTTCAAGGGCAGCGTTGCCCCAAACCTGTGCTTCGGGACCTTGCACCTGGTTAATATGGAATCTGCCCTGCAAGGTGCCTTTGGGCACGTACTCGAAGGTGTCCACGTCCACCGCAGCGAACACACCCCACAGCAGCCAAGGCCCTTATCAATGAGTCAGCAGGACGCTGGCGACCCGGAGGGCCCGCAGACGAGGGTGTCTGGGGAATCCCACCTTTGCGCGGGGAGGGGGTCTGTGAAGATTGACATCCAGACACGCCCCCTCTCCTTCACAGCGCCCCTCTCTGCACAGTCCTGTCCCAGAAGCAGAGACATCGGCTCGTGGCCACCTGTCAAGTCAGGCCCAGGCCGCGAGGGAGGGGAAAGGAGCCGCGGGAGGCGGCGCACGGGCTGTTCAGATACTGCCGCCGCCACTCCTTTAGACTCTGGACGTGCGGGGACTGGCTGGGCTTGGCCTCGCGTTATAAAAAGCGGCGGGGCCGGGCCGGCGAGACAGCCCAGGAGGCGGGTACCGGGCCTAGCGGACCCGCGCGGCGCCCCCACCTGTGGCTGCGCTCGGGGCGGGCTGTGCTTCCCGGGGCGGCGCCTGGTGGCAGCGGCCAGTGGCGAGATGGGCCGCTACTCGGGCAAGACGTGCCGGCTGCTCTTCATGCTGGTGCTCACCGTCGCCTTCTTCGTGGCGGAGCTGGTCTCCGGCTACCTGGGCAACTCCATCGCGCTGCTCTCCGACTCCTTCAACATGCTCTCCGACCTGATCTCGCTGTGCGTGGGCCTGAGCGCCAGCTACATCGCCCGGCGCCCCACTGGGGGCTTCCACGCCACCTACGGCTACGCCCGCGCGGAGGTGGTGGGCGCGCTGAGCAACGCCGTCTTCCTCACCGCGCTCTGCTTCACCATCTTCGTGGAGGCGGTGCTGCGCCTGGCCCGGCCCGAGCGCATCGATGACCCGGAGCTGGTGCTCATCGTCGGCGCCCTGGGGCTGTTGGTGAACGTGGTGGGGCTGCTTATCTTCCAGGACTGCGCCGCCTGGTTCTCGTGCTGCAGGCGGGGCCGCGGTCGCCGCCTGCAGAAGCGTCAGCAGCTGGCGGAGGACTGCGCTCCCGGTGCTTTCGGGGGACCCCAGGGCCCGGAGGACCCGCGGCGCGCATCGGCCCCGACAGCCCCCGGCTTCGACTCGGCCGTAACCCTTCGGGGGACCTCGGTGGAAAGAAAGCAGGAGAAGGGGGCGACCGTGTTCTCAAACGTAGCAGGTGCCTTTCGGTTGCATCCTCTGGACCGCTTGGCCCTTCCTTCCTCCTCCCACCTGGTCCCTTTCCCTTTCTTCTCACCCCACGCCCTCTTTTTCTTCGGCATGCTTTTTTTTTTTTTTTTTTTTTTTTTTTATTAAAAATTTTCTCTATCCTTTCTTTTTTCTCCTGGATCCTCGGGTAGCCCTAGTCTCTTTTCCCTTCCCCTATTCTCTCTATAAAAGTATTGATTTTCTTTGAAATCAGTCATTATTGGGCAACAGGCGGCACTCTCCAACCCCTCCTCCGCTCATTCGTTGGTATCTGAATTTTGTTTTTCGCCCTTTCTCCTTGCGCACCTGTTTGTCCTTTTGGGTGTTACGGGCTTGGGGGCTGCAGGTGGGCTCCCATTTGCCCTCTTTTTGTTTTAACTTGAAAGGATGTCTGAATGAAGTCCAAAGGTGTATCACAAGGCTATTTCAAGGCCAAATGTACTGTTCTGAGCTGTGTGTGCAGAGGAAGGGTCTCCCTTAAGCTAGTAGGAATTTGAAATAACAAAACTTTATTTTGAGTCCATTGGTTTTTTTTGTTTGTAGAACTTATACACAACACAAGGTTTCTTCTTTGAATGCAGGTGATTCCTTCAACCCCCAGAATGAGCCAGAAGAGATGATGAAAAAAGAGAAAAAGTCTGAAGCTCTGAATATCAGAGGTAGGATTGACTTTGGGCCTATTTGAAATCGGTTTCTATGACACATATGGACTGTGCTGTAAATTTCTCTTTGACTTTTAATAAGGTAAAGGTGTGTTTGAAAGTAGGCCAGTTACATGCATAGACTATGACCTGACTCTCTTTTGTAATCACTGCATTGATCCTGGGGAGAAGCTGGTTGCTAATGATTTATCTTAGCTCCACTTAGACCCATGCTAATACTGCCTGCTCCAGAACTGCACATATCAACCTTATTTACTACTTTACTTGGTTTTACTAGTCCATAGATATCGCTAACAAATAATGAAGCCTATTTTAATTGAATGTGCTTTTGATAAAGGTAGGAAAAGAGTAGGCGAGCTGCTATCCAAGGTTGTGCCCTATCTGGCATTGTTGAATGACCCTGTTGCATCAATTATTTCTGCCAGAAATCTGCCTTTGTGAAGGGACTGTTGGCTCACTAACACCTCCACTCCCAGGACCAAAGGGAGTGTTCTGGTGAGGCCCATGGCAGGCACCTAACTAGCATTCTTCTCATTATGCGGTCAATGTCAGAAGCACTGGACTAAGGTCAGCCCAGGGCTTTTTGAGATGTGTTTCTCGCTGGACACCATTGTATCCAACATCTCTCCTTTCCAACTTCTTTGGCGCAGATTTTGCTTCAGAGTAATTCCAGAAGGGGTTAATCCCCAATCTTGATTTTGAGAATTCCAACAAGGATTAAGCAACCCTCTACTTTCCTGTGGTTTGGGGAAAGCCTGTAAGTGCGGTTTAGATGGAAATAATATAATGAACAATTAATAATTCAGGAGATATTTTCACTTTGAGTGTCTCACATCTGTTTTAAAAAGTAATTTTCAGAATGAACCAATAGGGAAAATCCAGAAGATAACAACAATAACGTATGAGCCCTAAAAATTTCTGAATTAACCAAATTTAAATGCAACAGGGAAATTTGCTCTCCAAAAGAGCTTAGTAGTAAGCTTTTAAAAGAAAATCTGTAATAAAAAATCATCATCATTTATCTTCTTTTATATGGTTCAATTTAAAAATATATACATTGGGGCCAGGCTTGGTGGCTCACACCTATAATCCTAGCACTTTGGGAGGCTGAGGTGGGTGGGTCACCTGAGGTCAGGAGTTCAAGACCAGCCTGGCGAAACCCCATCTCTACTAAGAAGACAAAAACTAGCCAGGTGTGACTGGGGGGGTCCTGTAATCCCAGATCCTAGGGAGGCTGAGGCAGGAGAATTGCTTGAACCCGGGAGGCGGAGGTTGCAGTGAGCTGAGATCATGCCACTGCACTGCAGCCTGGGAGACTGAGTGAGACTCTGTTATATATATAATTGAGACAGAGTCTCACTCAGTCTCCCAGGTTGCAGTTCAGTGGAGCAATATATATACATACATATACGCATAAGTTTTAAGGTGGAGTTCACCATCAGAGACTTTAACTTTTCCAAACATGTTCTGTTACATATCCTCATTCTTTTTTTCTTCTTCTTTGAGATGGAGTCCCGCTCTGTCTCCCAGGCTGTAGTACAGTGGTGCAATCTCTGCTCACTGCAACCTCCACCTTCCAGGTTCAAGTGATTCTCATGCCTCAGTCTCCTGAGTAGATGGGATTAGAGGTGTGCACCACCACGCCTGGATGATTTTTGTATTTTTAGCAGAAACGAGATTTCACCATGTTGGCCAGGCTGGTCTTGAACTCCTGACCTCAGGCAATCTGCCTACCTTGGCCTCCCATAGCACTGGGATTACAGGCCTGAGCCACTGCACCCAGCCAAGTATCCTCATCCTTACATTACAATGTTGAGAAAAAGAATACGTAGGTGGAATGAAACAAAGAAGAATGAAGAGTAGGTCCTCATAGATATGGTGATCTTGTTTGAGAAACTTGTATGATCTTGACAAATTTTAGTCCAAAGCTATTGAAGTTTCTTGGTAGAAAAACGTCAGTAGTAGAATGCCTTGCTGTACCTGGCTGGGCCCTTGGTTTTCAGGTACAGGTATTGATCGACTTACGACCTATGCAACTTACGACCATTCGACTTTACGACCACAATCGCTAGCCGCGACTGCTCCGCGTCTGGCAGCGCAAACGTTGCCCAGCTGGGCGTACAACAGTGCGGTACCAGCTTCCGGCAGCACTACCATCTCCGCGTGCATATAGCCTACTCAACTTACGACCAAATTGTGTTACGACTGGTCTGTCGGAACCAATCGTGGTCGTAAGTCGAGCACTAGCTGTACTGACACCAGTGCATCTCTAGCTTCTGATAGATATGAATGGTGCAGTGGCTGAAAGACTGGGATTTGGCTTAAACTGCCTGAGTGTGAATCATGGCTCTGCCGCTTAAGAACCATGTGACTTTGGGCAAGTTATTAAACTCCTCTAAGCCTCCAATCCCCTCATCTTTAAAATGAGGATAATAACAGTACTCACCTTCTGGAATTGCTTTGAAATAAGTGAAATCTATAGAGTTTAGGTTTATAATAGGAAAACTGGCTGATGTTTTGATTGAGTACAGACTTTGTCCCTGGTACCATTCATGAATGAGTCAACGTGGTAATCACACAATCTTACTGAGTGCATACAATTGTTGTTCAGGTAGTGGGTGGAATTGCGAGGCTCAAACCCACAGTGCTTCCATGTTAGTTGAGATCATTCCTGCTGCTTTTGATGAGGACCTGTGCTGTGGCTGACCGGAGCCTTTCCATATTTCCCGCTAAGTGTGAGACTGGCCTCCCCTTTGGTGCTGTGTCCTTATCTTGGAGACATAATTCACGGAAAGATCATAGAATGCTAGACTTGGAAAGACCTTAGGGAAAATGGACTTCAAACTTTTACTTCACAGATGAGGAAGCAGGGTACAGAGTTTAATGACTCCCTCAAGTCACCCCAGCTCATAGAAAAGACAAGGCTAGAATCCTGGATGCTTACATCACATTTCTGGCCCTTTCCATGATCACACATTGCCTCTAGACTCCAGGGAGAGATGACTTGCTTCTCTAGTACACAGTCACTGAATGGTTATATTTCTAACATTTAAGCAACTGCTTTAGAAAGTAGGACTATGTCCCGCTCTCCAGATCTGCAGAGGAAATGGGGATCTCTGCAAACAAAAAAACGATTTCTTCATTTTCTTTACTGTTTCTCTTATTCCAATGGGAATAGGAAAATGAGTTTTTTGGGTTTTTTTTTTTTTTTTTTTTTTTTTGAGTGATGAAGTCTTGCTCTGTAGCCCAGGCTGGAGGGCAGTGGCATGATCTTGGCTCACTGCAACCTCCACCTCCCAGGTTTAAGTGATTCTTCTGCTTCAGCCTGCAGAGAAGCTGGGATTACAGGCATATGCCACCGTACCTGGCTAATTTTTTGTATTTTTGGTAGAGAAGAGGTTTCACCATGTTGGCCAGGCTGGTGTTGAACTCCCGACCTCAGGTAATCCCCCCATCTCAGCCTCCCAAATTATTAGGATCACAGGTGTGAGCCACTGTACCTGCCCAGAAAATGAATTCTAAGCAACACACTCTGTCTTCTACTGTAAAGTATGATAAAAACAATCCTCTTAATTCTTATCAATGTGCTTTGTAGTGGTTAGTTTTATTTAATAGGATCTAACATGATACATTAAAGATGTAACAATATGTCAGAAAGACAATTAGCTTTTTAAAGTTTGGTATAAACATAATAGACAAATAGCCATCTTGACATCCCTTGAAAAGAAATCCCCTTTGATGAGATGTTTCTTTGCAATTCTTGATTTTTCATCTCATCTTTTCATTACCATTTGCCCAGTACAGATGCACTATTTAGTCATTCAACAAATTCAACAGCACCGATGGCTTTCCTAAGTTCTGGGACACACCAAATTTCAACTTGTGTCCAATTGCCAGTTTATGTTACATGCCAGCTTTTGGGGGGTTTCGTTTTAATCTAAAGGCAGCCAAGTGAGGGCCAAGTACAGAGGTTTCCTGCCTTTGCAAAGCTACCTTGAGAGCATTATGACTAATCAGGTGATTGAGTTGTCTGCTAGGTGGTGATCTTTGTGTGTCTCAGGTAATGCTGCCAGATTTATCTTTCTGAATCATAGATGTGATCACATCAGAGTCTGATCAAAGCCTTTACTTCATCCAGGATATAGTCTCACACTGCTGACATTCAAGAGCTTGCTGTTTTGGTGCCAATATTCCTTTCTAGACGTTTCTGCCCTTCCCTTCACTCCTTCATGGCCTCACCTCCACCACCAGCTCTTTACTCTCTCTCTGTATACCCACCAACATTTAATGTACAACTGTAGAGAGGTGAGAAGCACTTAGACCCCGTGGTCAGGCAGATCTGGTTTGAGTTCGGCCTCTCTCTTTTCCTAGCAAGGTGACCTGGGGCAAGGAACTTAATCTCCTTGAGGTTCAGTCCCCTCATCTATACAATGGAAATAATAAGACCAACATCACCGTGTTGTGCTGATCACATGGGTGGTTAGAACAGCACAGAGGACCCACTCAACTAATGGTGCCTGTTATCATCGTCACCACCTCTAGGTCATTCTCAGAGGGTTTTCAGACATTTTAAAACATGCTCTTCAGAACTAGCCTCTAAGGGAAGTGAGGCAGTTACTATTACTACCCCATTTCACAGATGAGAATCTTGCTCCTCAGAGAGGTTGACTTCAATAAGGTCCATGGCTCATAGCAGCAGCGTCAGGGTCTGTGAGTCTAAATTTAGCGATCAGCCCAAATGTTGCCCCACAAGCACGTCTCCATCTGCAGTTTCCCATGAGGCTCCTGCGAGGTGTTCCTGTCTGCAATGCCTTCTCCTCTGGTTGCCTGTTGAAGTCTGCCTCCTCTCCAGAGTCCTGCCTAAATTACCTACCTCTCAACAAGACTTTCCTGAGATTTCTCATCACAGGAGACTCTTTTCCTCCCCAAGGAAGTTATCAATGTCTTTATTTCAGCATCTTCTACTTTGAGACGCTGAGGCAAGAGGATTACTTGATGCTGGGAGCTTGACACCAGCCTGGGCAAAAGAGCAAACCCCTGTCCCTGTTAAAAAAAAAAAAAAAAAGTAAAAAAATTAAAATTTTTTTTTAAAAAGTAAAAAAATTAGCTGGTGCAGTGGCACACACCTGTAGTCCTAACTACTTGGGAGACTGAGGTGGGAGAATCATTTGAGCCCTGGAGTTTGAAGTTAGAGTGAGCTATGATTATGCCACTGTACTCCAGCCTGGGTGACAGAGGGAAACCCCATCTCTCTCCTCTCTCTCTCTCTCTCTCTCTCTCTCTCTCTCTCTCTCTCGGTCTCTTTCTCTCATACACACACACATGCACACAGAATTTTGCCACTGCACTGTAGTTAATGATCATAACCATGCCTTCTTCCTCTTTGCATGGGCGGTGAGAAGATACATTGCATTATGAAATCTCAGGAACTGAGTGAGATGCTGGTTTAAACAGTTTTTCAGACTGAAGGCCATGACAATTTGGGCCCTAGAATTAGTTTAGTAGAAAATTAATTATAATAGAATGAAATAGAATAGGTAATAGTAGGAAATCATATATAAGGGGGAGTTTTGCTTTCCCACAAATCATTTGTTTCAATTTGTATCTATGTCTATGCTAGGATGCAAAACATAATTCTTACTGTGGATTATGGGAAAAATGAGTTTGAAAGTTACTATTTTTATGTAATTCTTGGGGACTAATAGTGGGATTTCTCAGAAGGAAATGCTGAATTTGGAGTTTAGAACTTACACGAGGCAGGATGCACAGTAGATCCCTGGACCGGCTACCCGGATTGATAATCCCAGTTAACACTGTTTAGTTGTGTGATTTTGGACAAGTTACTTAGGTATTCTGTGCCTCCGTTTCCTCATTTGGAAAATGAAGAGAGTGCCAACCAGAAATACTCAGAAGGGTCTGATTCCAATTTTCAAGAGTTTATTCAAGTGAAAACCTGGGAATGGCCATTCCAGGGTTCATCATTCCAGAGAAATGGGGATAGGGTTCCAAAGTTAAAAGCTAAATTCTTGCTTATATAAGGAGAAGAACAAGAAATTTAACAGAGTTGTAACATTTTCTATACAAGAGTGGTTTACAAGTCAGAAAAATTAATTAGTTAGAATTTATTTTCCATGTGGCTTGTTCTCTTTATAGCTGTTTTTCATTTCCTTTCCAACTTAAAAGAGTGTATTTAACATTCCATATTAAAGGACTGTGATAGCCGTGATGTCATGTATGAGAAGGTAAGAGGGAGAATGAAAATCAACAATAAGTGAAAAGGGGGTCTTCCCTGGGGCTCTTTGCCATTCACAACATTTTACAGAGCAATGCAGGTAAGGAAAAAGATTTAATTCAGACATGCAAAAGCTTACAGCTGCCTGTCACGTAGCTCAGGCCCTGTAATTCACATTCCTTGAAGGCTCAAAATACTTTAGAGTTCCAACGGCTTAGATTTTGCATTACTTATTTTCACCTTACAGTCCTAATGAGGACTTAATGTGTAAATATATGTAACATGCTTACAGCAATGCCTGGAGCATGTGTGTTTGTTAGCATAATAATAACAATGGTTGTTACTATTAAAGACAAGAGTTACTGTATGTCATGGGAGTTATGATGATCAACCAGAAGCTCCTGTTTTATTGAATGCCTACATTGCTATTACGGCATTATGGCATTGCTATTACGGAGGAAATGGATCTAACATGGATGAGACAATCAGAATAACAGACTGTGTCAGGCAGTAAAAATGACATCACTTGTGCACAGGAAATATTAGGCTTTCATATATATATATATTTTTCTCTTTTTTTTCCCCTTATCTCAAAAGATATAAAGGCTTTCATATTTTTATGGTAACGTTTTGTACTGTCCTGAAGAAATTTAAAGCTTGGATCTTTAACTCCTTATAGAAGAACAAAGTACATAGAACATTTCTTGGGAAAATTTTGTTTCCCTCCTGTGGTTCAGTACAGGGATTGGGAAGTTAAAAGCTCCTTTGGGTGTCAGATGTTATGAGAAAGAGGCACAGCATTAGAAAATGGGAATGTTAATGTATATATTGAATCAGGATCTCATAAGTAAACACTCAGCCAAAAGGAAATATGGGAATTCTTTTTATTCCTATATTTTTTGGGAAAAATTTGAGTCAATTGCTTCAAATTACATTTAGTGTTCACAGAATGCCATTTTCTCTATGATGTTATTTAGAATTGCGGAGGTGTTGCCAAGAGGAGGAATTAGCCCAATTAAAGCACCTTCCAAATGAGACTGTCTTAGCTGTGAGTTGTGAATCTTAGCCATGAGTAAGTTGTTAGTAATTTGGATTATTATTCATTCTGCTGCATAAGTCTGTGGAATACACAGAGAGACAAAGCAGACCCCTCTTAATATACGTGCTTTCTCCTAGAGCAGTGCTTTGGAAACTTGTGTGTGTGCATTCCAATCACCTGGGCATCTTTTTAAAATGCAGGTTCAGATTCTACAGATCTGAGGTGGGGCCTGAGAATCGGCATTCCTAACAAGTTCCTAGGTGATGCTGATGCTGCTGGTTTGCAAGCTATACTTTGAATTGCAATATTCTAATGTTGCTTTCTGTAAAAACAAACAAACCAACCCCACAAAAACCAAAACCCAAAACTCTGTGTTTTATGATTTTTCCGACCAAATTTTCACCTAATTTACTTACTAATCCCAGTTTAATCTTGCCTAACAATTGGGTACTCAAATCTTTGCTGAGGAATGCATAGGTTCTATATTATAGTCAGTATCTTTAGAAACAATTCCCTAATTAAAGGCACCTACAATTTTTAGTATTATCTGTAGAATTTTAATTTTATTTTGTTATAAATGGCTCTTTCTGCAATGAAAATGTTTCTGGAGTCCCTGTTCTTGGGCACCTCTTAAACGAAATGCTGTTTAAATGACCACAGGCTAAATAAAAAGTAGGTAAATGCTTACAGGGAAAAAGGAAGGAGGATCAAGGTAGAAAAGAGACAAATTTTTTTAAACACTCTTTAATATAACTTGTTCACAATCCCCTTAAAAATGTTTAAAACAATGTAAAGCACAGATACTTGTCATAAAGAAAAAGAAATCATTTGCACAGCCTCTGTTTTCTAGCTTGGTGCCCTTTGATGGGTGGTGGGTGGTAGTGGTGTGGCCCTGTGAGACGGCGCAGTCACTCTTCCTGCAGGCGGAGGCAAATCTGGAATCCATGTAAGCTGTTGCTCTTCCAAGGTACTCTGAATCCTGAGATGGTGACCTGGGGTTTTGTTTCCCAAGAAGTAGTTGCCATTATTTTGATTCATCCTACTGTTCTAACCAAAACCAAAACCAGAAAACCCCAAATGGTAACAGGTATTCATATACTTGGAAATCCAAGTCAGTGAGTGTCACATGGCTTCCAGATTTGCCTCTGTGCTGCAGTAGTCTTTCTTTCTTCCTGGCAGGTGTACTTTTGCATGTGATGGGAGATGCCCTGGGGTCCGTGGTTGTGGTCATCACAGCCATCATATTCTATGTGCTTCCCCTGAGGAGTGAGGACCCGTGTAACTGGCAGTGTTACATTGATCCCAGCCTGACTGTCCTCATGGTCATCATCATTTTGTCATCTGCCTTCCCGCTCATCAAGGAGACCGGTGCCATTCTGCTGCAGATGGTCCCCAAAGGAGTCAACATGGAAGAGCTGAGTAAGTAGACTGAATTGTGATCCAGAACCACGCTCAATTTAATGTTATCAGGCCAAAGGACGAAGATTATTTAAGAGCAGTGCTGCTTCATGTATTCTGAAACATCTTAAATCACCAGGCGGTAGAGACATCCATCATATGTTTTATAGCCTATTAAGATGACTCAGCTCCAAGTACCAAAGGTCCTTTGCAACTGTGATTCTCTGACTCAACTGTAAATTTTTAAGAATGCAGTGCCTGGATAATACCTATTTCTGGGCTATTTACTTTCATGTCAAAGATTTATTTTAATTCAAATAAGGCCATTTCTGCCAAGTACTCTATTTTATTCTCCTTATTCTAAAAGCACAATCATTCATATTCTAGACCCTGCTTTCTAGTTAATGTGGACATGCAAGTCCCTGTGTCTCTCACAACACTGCCTAGTGCTTCAGGCAGAGCAGGCATGGGAGAGGGAAGGAGACAGAGGAACAGACATAGAGCATTGCCTTTGCCTTCCCAGGAGCTAGTTCGTTTCCCCATTGAGGGAATAAGATAAACATATACAAAGAAATTTGTGATATATACTGGCTACGTTTTTCATAAAGTAATACATTTAAAAACAGTTATTTTTAAAAATAGAGGGCTAGTTGCTTGCAGTCTCACCACTTTGGGAGGCTGAAGTGGAAGGATTGCGTGAGGCCAGGAGTTCAAGAGCAGCGTGGGCAACACAGTGAGACCTCATTTTTACAAAAATAAAAATATCAGTTTTATAAATAAATAGAAAAGTAAAGGTTATAGGGCGTGGCTGTGGTCCCAGCTACTCGGTAGTCTGAGATGAGAGGATCACTGGAGCCCAGGAGTGTGAGGCGACAGTGAGCCATAAACATGCCACTGTACTCCAGCCTGGGAGACAGGACAGTCTCTACAAAAACAAAAAACCCCACAGCTTAGTAATAACAATAGCGCTATTTTCATAGCATTTATTGCATGCTAGGAAGGTAAGTGTTCTAAGTGCTTTATGTATAATAATGCATTTTCGTCCTTAAAATAATACGAAAGGCACTATTATCATTTCTATTACACAGTTAAGGAAACTGAGGCACAGAGAGGTTAGGTAATTGTTTAAAATCATGCAGTTAGTAAATGTCTAAACTAGGATTCAGACTAGCTGACTGCAGAGCCTTTGCTCAAATCTGTATTGAATACCATCTCTCTAAATACGTATTCATTTTGGAAAGTATAGAAAATACAGAGGAGCCTAAATAAGAAAGTAGAAATCTCTCTTAATTTGACAGTGGAAATTACCATTGTTAATATTTTTCTATATGCAGTGTAAAAAGAAAGATCCTGCCATACACACAGTTTTTTTTTTTTTTTTTTTTTTTTTGAGACGGAGTTTCACTCTTGTCACCCAGGCTGGAGTGCAATGGTGCGATCTCGGCTCACCGCAACCTCCGCCTCCTGGGTTCTGGCAATTCTCCTGCCTCAGCCTCCTGAGTAGCTGGGATTACAGGCACGCGCCACCATGCCCAGCTAATGTTTTGTATTTTTAGTAGAGACGGGGTTTCACCATGTTGACCAGGATGGTCTCGATCTCTTGACCTCGTGATCCACCCGCCTCGGCCTCCCAAAGTGCTGGGATTACAGGCTTGAGCCACCGCGCCCGGCCCCATATACACAGTTTAGCAATTTGCTTCTTCACTTAAAAATACCTTATGTACATTTTCTCATATCCTTAAATATGCAACTTACTTTTAAACAACTGTATCCTATTCCATTACATAATTGTTTTAACTATTTCCTTGTTGGGTCCATCTTTTTCATGAATACAAAGAGCATTGTCCAAACCATTCTTGTACATAAATATTTGGTTATTTCTTTTAGGTTAAACTCTTTGTAGTAGAATTGCTAGTAAAGGTTTTTTTTTTTTTTTTTTATCCATGTTGCCAAATCATCCCTTTTAAGAAAAGGCAGACCAGGCACGGTGGCTCACACCTGTAATCCCAGCACTTTGAGAGGCCGAGGTGGGCAGATCACAAGGTCAGGAGTTCGAGACCAGCCTGACCAACATGGTGAAAACCCGTCTCTCCTAAAATACAAAACTTAGCCAGGTGTGGTGGCATGTGCCTGTAATCCCAGCTACTCAGGAGGCTGAGGCAGGAGAATCGCTTGAAACTGGGAGGTGGAGGTTGTGGTGAGCTGAGACCATGCCACTGCACTCCAGCCTGGGGGTCAGAGCAAGACTTCATCTAAAAAAAACAAAAAGCATTGCACTATATATGACTATGAGAAGTTCGTTCAAGTGTCCATTCCCTTGTATACTCAGCAACCCTGGGGACTTTTTTCTTGTCTTTAGACTTCTTTTCTTAAATGACTTTGTATGGGCTAACGAAGTGTGAAGAAAGGTTAAGGGCAAATGTACCCACAGAGGTACAACTATTTTGTTCTTCCTGCTGTTATTAATAAGTATGCAGCCATTTTGGTGAGAATACTTAAAGGAACCATATCCCTCCTGTAGTTCCTTGTCTCAAATGCGGCTTTTGTTTGCTCTTCTCTGTTATAGTGAGTAAACTCTCTGCTGTGCCTGGAATTAGCAGTGTACATGAAGTACACATCTGGGAACTTGTAAGTGGAAAGATTATTGCCACCCTGCATATCAAGTATCCTAAGGACAGGGGATATCAAGATGCTAGCACTAAAATTCGAGAAATCTTCCACAGTGCGGGAATCCACAATGTCACCATCCAGTTTGAAAATGTGGACTTGAAGGAACCCCTGGAGCAGAAGGACGCACTGTGGCTGTGCAACTCACCCTGCGTCTCCAAGGGCTGTGCGAAGCAGCTGTGTTGTCCCCCTGGGGCACTGCCTCTGGCCCATGTGAATGGCTGTGCTGAGCACAATGGCGGGCCCTCTCTAGACACATACGGAAGTGACGGCCTCTGTAGAAGAGACACAATGGAAGTGGCTATTGAAGTGTCTTTGGACAGCTGTCTGAGTGACCACAGACAAACTCTTAACAAAACTCAGGAGGACCAATGTCATGTCAACAGCACGCACTTTTAATCTGGTACCCACATAATCAGACTGTATAGACAAGGCACTTTGGAACCACCAGCGTGGCTCATAAGAAAAGCTTTGTGGGTTGTAGGCTCAGACCAGACTTGCAGTGTGCATGCTCTGTGTTCACTAGGGGTTGGCTGTTTGGAATTTTAGTTAAACATGTCTGTGAATTTTATGTAACTGGTAACCCCTTTCTATTCCCCTGGGCATCTCATGCTGCTCTTTGACTGTTTCAGCTTGAACATGCGTTTTTCTAAAGCAGACTGCACTAGTGTATATATCAGGGATATTCAAGACTGGGCCTGGGACTCAGTAACTGCGGATACAGTGTTCAAAGGAGTTCTTGTTTCTAAACTGATTAGAACTTCTAGCTGATGCTCAGGTGAGATCATAGCTTGAATACATTGAAAAAATTAAAGGACCACAATAGCTGTATTTTCCCCATTCCCCTTAATGATCATAAAAGAGGCAAGTTAGGTATTTCTGGCACTAAAGAAATATCTTTTTCCTTTGATTCATTTTTGAATAAATATAAAATGAATAATTCTTAAGGTAGAAAATATTCTCAGAACATTCTGTAGGAGGTAAAGGTTAGTAGGGTTTTTTTGGTCCATCTCTACATTTTGTGAGGTGAGAGAAAACTAGTGTTTACTTTCTGCTGTGAACTGAACTGCAGCTATAGGATGTTTCAAATGTTTAAATATATAATACATCTTCACGTGGAAGTGAGGGGCTATTTCAGCTTCCTCAAGTATGATACAGATACTCATATGCTGTCTTTCAGAGTCAGCACAGTTGGGGCTGTTTTCATTTAGTGCTTTCATAATGATTTACTTATTTTTCCAAATTTCCTTTGACTTTTCTTTCATATGATCTCATTGATCTATGCAGCATTTACCAGAAAAGAGTATTCCTGGGATAGCAGAATGCATAACATTGAGTATTAATTCTTGTCAAATAAATAAGCTAGACTGCCTTCTCCTTAATCAGACATATTTTAAAGTATTTATTATAGTTGTCAACTAGTGACTCAATGGAAAAGTTGATGTCCAAAGGAGAAGTGAGAATTAGCTTACTTGCTGCCTTTAATGTGCTTTTGAGGAACTTAAAATTTTCTTTTATGTCTCTGATCCATATTACCAAGTTCAAATAAAATTTTTATAATTGGATTCAGACCCATAACCAAACTATACCGGTAGTAGAGAAGCATCGGTCATATATTTAACACATTGTTCAGATATCAGTATTTAAATCGGAAGTCTCACAGGTATGAGAAAATGGGAGGTGCCTCACTAGACAACTAGTATTGTCTTCAGTAGATTGCAAGATTGTCTGAAAATCACCATCTCTTAGTGTATAAAGTCCTGTTTAGAATCTGCACAGGATTTATCAGAGGTGCTGGGTTGATAATGAAGACAGCATCCATGATTTTTCAGAACAAACATCGTATTTAAACAATTTATCTTAGTCCTAAATTTGAAGGCTGAAATAAATAAACAGCTATGATCAGTAGGATAGAATATTTTTGTAGAAACAGGGTCTCACTATGTTGCCCAGGCTGGCCTTGAACGCCTAGCCTCAAGTGATTCTCCTGTCTCGGTCTCCCAAAGCCCTGGGAGAACAGGCATGAGCCACTGCACCTGGCCAGGAAATTCTTTATTCCTTGAAAATGTATTATCTGAGTTTAAACTGGCTGTGAATTACGTAAATAGAAAAATGCCTAAAAATGTTTTTATTTCTAGGAGCTTATTGGGCTAGGTTATATGCACTTTATAAGCTCAAAGGGGTTAATAAGTAAGACATTTATCTTTTTAGTATTAAAAGTGTGGCCTGGGCCGGGCGCGGTGGCTCAAGCCTGTAATCCCAGCACTTTGGGAGGCCGAGGCGGGTGGATCACGAGGTCAAGAGATCGA